CTGTTGAACAAGATATTACAAGATTTATATTGGACTTGTTGACATCACAGGTTGATGAACTTAGTTATCTAAACAAAGACAGCCTCCAAAAAAATTTAATTTGGATTAGTTTGATGTTGGATGTGATAACTTTCTTTGATAGCGTTTGTATTCATTAATGTCAATTTGAGACTCATCAAATATTTATTTCTTGCAACTTAAGATGCTCTGATATTATATCTGATCTTATGTTATTAATGGATTTAAGCCCAAGACTCAATGCATTGTTTGCTGAATCATACCAAGAATGTGTAGTTTCCACGACGAGTGATATAAAGTCATTGAGTGATATCAAGACGAGTGATATAAAGACAGAGAGTGATATCAAGACGAGTGATATCAAGACGAGTGATATAAAGACAGAGAGTGATATCAAGACGAGTGATATAAAGACATTGAGTGATATCAAGACGAGTGATATAAAGACAGAGAGTGATATCAAGACGAGTGATATAAAGACATTGAGTGATATCAAGACGAGTGATATAAAGACAGAGAGTGATATCAAGACGAGTGATATAAAGACATTGAGTGATATCAAGACGAGTGATATAAAGACATTGAGTGATATCAAGACGAGTGATATAAAGACAGAGAGTGATATCACGACGAGTGATATAAAGACAGAGAGTGATATCAAGACGAGTGATATAAAGACATTGAGTGATATCAATACGAGTGATATAAAGACATTGAGTGATATCAAGACGAGTGATATAAAGACAGAGAGTGATATCAAGACGAGTGATATAAAGACAGAGAGTGATATCAAGACGAGTGATATAAAGACAGAGAGTGATATCAAGACGAGTGATATAAAGACATTGAGTGATATCAAGACGAGTGATATAAAGACATTGAGTGATATCAAGACGAGTGATATAAAGACAGAGAGTGATATCAAGATGAGTGATATAAAGACATTGAGTGATATCAAGACGAGTGATATAAAGACAGAGAGTGATATCAAGACGAGTGATATAAAGACAGAGAGTGATATCAAGACGAGTGATATAAAGACAGAGAGTGATATCAAGACGAGTGATATAAAGACAGAGAGTGATATCAAGACGAGTGATATAAAGACAGAGAGTGATATCAAGACGAGTGATATAAAGACATTGAGTGATATCAAGACGAGTGATATAAAGACATTGAGTGATATCAAGACGAGTGATATAAAGACAGAGAGTGATATCACGACGAGTGATATAAAGACAGAGAGTGACATCAAGACGAGTGATATAAAGACATTGAGTGATATCAAGACGAGTGATATAAAGACATTGAGTGATATCAAGACGAGTGATATAAAGACAGAGAGTGATATCAAGACGAGTCATATAAAGACATTGAGTGATATCAAGACGAGTGATATAAAGACATTGAGTGATATCAAGACGAGTGATATCACAACGAGTGATATAAAGACAGAGAGTGATATCAAGACGAGTGATATAAAGACATTGAGTGATATCAAGACGAGTGATATAAAGACAGAGAGTGATATCAAGACGAGTGATATAAAGACAGAGAGTGATATCAAGACAAGTGATATAAAGACAGAGAGTGATATCAAGACGAGTGATATAAAGACAGAGAGTGATATCAAGACGAGTGATATAAAGACAGAGAGTGATATCAAGACGAGTGATATAAAGACATTGAGTGATATCAAGACGAGTGATATAAAGACATTGAGTGATATCAAGACGAGTGATATAAAGACAGAGAGTGATATCACGACGAGTGATATAAAGACAGAGAGTGATATCAAGACGAGTGATATAAAGACATTGAGTGATATCAAGACGAGTGATATAAAGACATTGAGTGATATCAAGACGAGTGATATAAAGACAGAGAGTGATATCAAGACGAGTCATATAAAGACAGAGAGTGATATCAAGACGAGTGATATAAAGACAAACTGTAATATAATATAAAGACATAGTAGATATACAAAGACATGAGTGAAAGAGTGATATAAAGATATTCTGTCTTTATAGATTATATTTTCAGATGCTATCATTGTGTTATCAACAGCCTTTACATATTTGTTGAAGCAATACATGTAGTTAGATTATTAAAGAGGTAAATCAGAATAATGAGGTGTTAATGAGGTATTACACTTGTGGCCAATTAGTCTGTTGTGCCTTAAATATACGTTTGTATATTTTTTTCTGTTCATAATTGCACTGGTTGATTTCTTTTTTCATCAAACATGAATATGTAACAAAAATGTGACTTCAACTGTGCAATGATAAAACCAGACAGTTATATTTTACCTATGCTAGAGTGATCACAAAAAAGGATATTAAAAAATTTCATGTTAAATGGATGATGCTAATATGATGAAATTCTCTACTTATGTAATAGTGCATGCTACAATATGCACTGCTTTATTGTTCTGGATTGATGAGACAAGAGATAAATTAAGTAATAAACTAGAAATAGTTCTTTCAATAATATCAAATAGTCTAGGTGAAGTGGATGAATGCAGAGCTAATTCAAATTGATGACAACCAAAGGAGAGACATTTTGCCTGATATTTCAAAACAATGAAGAACACAAATTAATGTGGGTCTACATCTTCCTGAAGAATGTAAATACAATGCATATATATTAAGACAATATCATTATATACAGTATGTAGGCCATGTAATTATAAACTTGCTAACCAACCTCTACTAAATATTTTCAGAGTAATGAAAGTGGGATGAGTCAATTATTAAGTGATACTGACGTCACTGCATAATCACATAAACACTAGAGGAACTAGAAAACGGCAACTCCACGGAGTAGCAAATCCCAACGAACACTATAACATATATGAATCTGTATTTGTCAAAAAAATATAAACACTGGAAACATTAGAGATATACCAGAATTTCTACTAATTTTAAGAGCATTTGGGTGACCATTTAAAGGCACAAATGATAAAGACAATTTGAATTTTCTGGGGCACAAATCAGGGAAACAATACCAAAATAGTGATCTGCCCTAAATTTTCTTCAATTTGAGAATAATATAGCCATACTTTGAAGATCAGAAAATTATTGCGAAATTCGACATAAGGCGGCGGCCATTTTTATTTTTTCATTTGAGTATAATTAAGCTATACTTTAGAAAGATCTCAAAATTAAAGCAAACTCCCATTTTTCAGACCCCTATACATGGCCGTGGGGTCATGGTGAAAAACTTGGAATAATATGAAAAAGATAGATGTTGTGAATATACTACCTCAATTTCAAACGATAATATTTATTACTTTGGTTTAAAATGAAAAACTTAAGATTTTCACATAAAAATCCAGCCATTTTTAAAGCGCCATCCATCTAAAAAAATTTTCTTGCGTACAGCTATTCACCAATATACATCTTTCCACCAAATATGAAGAAAATCTGTCCACTAGTATTCAAGTTATCTTCCGGGCAGATAAACGGACAGACTGACGGACGGCTTCACTATATCTCTACCAAACTTCGTTCGTCGGGACAATAACTGACTGCATAATGATATAAACACTAGAGGAAAAATTGATTGCATAATGACATAAATACTACATGAAAAAATTGACTGTATAATGACATAAACACTTGAGGAAAAACTGGTTGCATAATGACATGAACACGAGATGAAAAATTGACTGCATAATGATATAAACACGACAGGAAAAATCGACTGAATAATGAAATAAACACAACAGGAAAAATTGACTGCATAATGATATAAACACAACAGGAATAATTGACTGCATAGACATAGACATTTGCAGAATTTTAAGTGCATAATGACATAAATAGAAATGGGAAAAATTGATTGCATAATGATATAAACACTAGAGGAAACATTGATTCCAAATTGAAACTAGAACAGCAAAATCAGGGAGTTGCAAATCCCACCGTACAAAACATATTTTTATTAAACACCTGATTTTGCCATGTATTAAATTCTTTCTTGAGCAGAGGTCTTATGACCATAAAGCAAAAGCATTAAAAATTTGGACCATATCTGGTAATTGGAATATTTGTTATCAGAAAAATCATAGCCATTTTGATTTCAGCATTTCTTCTTGACTAGAGTCCTATGCCAAAGAGATAACAGCAATGACAAGGTGCAGCAAATCCCATCAAACAGCTGCCTATTAGCCAAATTGCCACATGACAGTGCTTCAAAGTATTCAAAACATGACATGACAATGCTTCAAAGTATTCAAACATCAAATCACTCCACTACTCTTCCAGTTGAGCAACAAAGTAAAATAACACACATAAAAATTTCAGCCATTTTCAAAATGGCCACTCACAAGCCAAATTGTCAAAATGAAGTGTTACATGGTTCTTATTATTCACATCTGAAATTTCAACAAAATCGCTGTTTCAGTTTTCAAATTACAGCAAAAAGCACAAAATGAAACATGTTAATATGATGGCCATTTTCCAGGTAGGCTTTCACAGGCCAAATTGTCATCGGAAAGCGGTTGCTATTTTAAATTGAGCGGTCTTATTGAAAATTCCTTCTTAAGTTGAGAGAGGTCTAAATGCAAGAACAAGTTGACTGTCCAATTAATGACATAAACAGTATAGTCTACTAGGGGAAAGGGGAAATGTATAATGATATAAATACTACAGAAAAAATGATAAAACACTTATTGCTCTATACTAGGAGTATATTATAGCTTGACTTTATTCAATATGTAGGTTCTTTCTATTTGTACACATGTTTGAGCAACTGTTTCTGTCAACCCATAATGAAATGAAGCCTGTTGTTTGAAATAATATGTATTCAACTAAATGTGATGCAAATATGAGGTAAATACCATATTTGGCTTCAATGACAGGTGTGCTCTCTGCTGATTGGCAGAAACCTGCAAAGTGATGCATCATTAACAGACGTGAATGTGGTCTGGAGGTATATAAGAATAATTATCAAACAAGCCATTAGAGATCAGAGACGCACTTGGATCTAATAAATGCAATGAGACATGAATTTGATGGAAAATGACATGTTCTTTCACAAACTGTAAACTTAAGGTAAGTTGTATTTGCAATAAAAGGTCAACAAATGTAGATAAGTTGGAAATAAAGGTAATAACTACAACTGTTTATCATATATAATAATAGAGAACTAATTGAAAATGACCAAAAACAAGTGAAATAAACTACTTTCAGATAAGATTATTAATGCATATAATTTGTAATCAAAAATTCAACTGTAAAGAATTATTTAGAAATCAGCATTCCCTTTATTGTATTGAAAAATAATAGTAATACTGTAAATGTAAACAAGGTAGATTTCTAGCAAGGGTCATCATCATATGGAGGAGTGCTATAATGCAATTATTCACATAACTTTTTATTATTCAATATTTCAGGTTGAACATTCACAAGAATTTATTTATTATAAAAATTAATTAAAAACTTTGTTTATGACCATCTCTGTAATGAGCGCATAGCAACATCTTCTAATAATAAGCTGCAAATCCTACCAACAATCATTAAATATGTTATTCTGGAATATACTACAGCAAAAAAACTCCATGATTAGCAAAAGATGGCTGAAGCCAATTCATATAATCAAAAAATAAGTTTCCACGCTATATTGCAAAAAGGTTTGATATACCATACCATATATGGTATGTGTTATATCATTCACATAATCATAGACAAAACACCAACATTTGGCAAAAACTTGTGGCCATTTTGAATTTAGCACACAAAATTTGACAAAGGTGGAACTTCTTTAATATAGCAACATGTACAATGCCAACCCAATCCACCGTATAGAATTTGAAATTATATGTTATATCTATTTGTGAACAATTGTGAAAAACTAAAGTGTATTCCAAGAAGAATCAAATAGAAAAGTGTCCCAATATCAAGAAGAAAACATCTCAAAAATCAAGAATTCTGTCGCAAAAAGGGAAGAAACAGACTCAGGAAGCAGTTTATATTTGACTGATTCATTGTGTATATGAGTATTTCCCTATTCAATTTCTTTTGTAATATATTCTAAATGTCACAATGTTGTACATGCCATGTTATGCAGAATAACAGGAAACTTCCAAATATGTTGAATCAGATCTGAGTTCAGCAGGTTTGGAAATAGAATTTGAAATAACCTTACAACTTTTATGCACTATGAATATTTTACACTTGAATGGTGGGAGAGGAGGAGGTATTATACATTGTTTCTTTTCATATTAGATCATGGTTTAGGATAGTTGGGGTTTGTTTTCCTTATGACTGGTGTACTCTTAGATGTTTTCTTTTTTTTACTATGTTTTGTAACAATTTTTGTCCTTTCCATTTGGCACTTGTGCATACATATTTATACAAGGCATTAACATGACAAATAGGTTTGCGGTTTAACAAAAGCGCTTTTCCAAATCTGCTAGGACCCTAGTCACTAAAAAACGTCTTAAATCTTTATGCGCTTTAGGAGTGTAGTGTAATACCAATCGGTTTTTGTAAAACGCCTTACCCGAGTTTTTACCATTTGCCCTAAACAAAATAAGACGTATTTCGAATGCTACACATTTGGGCTGCCGCAAAAATACAGGAAATGATGGATGGTACCCAAAAAATACAATTTATATCTTAAAAATTGAAAGTTAGTTCACATCACCGGCAAAAGTCTTGATTACATTTTCTCTTAGATGCTAAAAGAATACATTTATTGTATATATATCTTTTATTGACTCTTTAGATGTCATATCATAGCATATTAGTCACTAAGGTAGAGCAGTTCTTCCCATTGTCGAGTTGAAGAACTGGTATCTTTATCCTGGCTAGAACCATAGACAATTCTAGCCAGCGCCAGCCTTTTATCGAGTTAGCAGCACTCTAGTAATCGCCGGTATAGGTCAGCAGTCATAGGTCAAAGACAAATCACAAGAAGTGCTGTGACCTGGGTTTGAACCCATAGATGTACTCATCTGCTGGATATTCTACACATGTACATCGTTAAAAGTGCACAAAAGGCATTTTAGAAATTACAGGTGTAATTTCGAAATAAAATTTCAAAGGCGCTTTAGAAATGTTGGTGTAATCAGGAATGGCGATTTTCTACTAAAGCGCTTTTTGTGTTTTTTCTAGTGTAATTCCAGCAAATAACAAAATGTTACCACTTTTTGGTGATGACATAAAAACTAAAAACACCATTGATTCTTTAGATAAGAGTATGAGTCTGGATTATTTTCTTTCTTTCAATAATTCATTTCTTTCAATATTCTTAATTCTTTATAAGTGAATATGTTAGACTCATAATGCATACCTTTACTGTTACCTCTTACTTAACTTTAAGACACATACTGCATACCTTTTTCTGTTACCTCTTACTTTAAGACTCATAATGCATACCTTTACTGTTACCTCTTACTTTAAGACTCATAATCCATACCTTTACTGTTACCTCTTACTTTAAGACTCATAATGCATACCTTTACTGTTGCCTCTTACTTTAAGACTCATAATGCATACCTTTACTGTTACCTCTTACTTTAAGACTCATAATGCATACCTTTACTGTTACCTCTTACTTTAAGACTCATAATGCATACCTTTTCTGTTACCTCTTACTTTAAGACTCATAATGCATACCTATACTGTTACCTCTTACTTTAAGACACCTACTGCATACCTTTTCTGTTACCTCTTACTTTAAGACTCATAATGCATACCTTTTTCTGTTACCTCTTACTTTAAGACTCATAATGCATACCTTTACTGTTACCTCTTACTTTAAGACTCATAATCCATACCTTTACTGTTACCTCTTACTTTAAGACTCATAATGCATACCTTTACTGTTACCTCTTACTTTAAGACTCATAATGCATACCTTTACTGTTACCTCTTACTTTAAGACTCATAATCCATACCTTTACTGTTACCTCTTACTTTAAGACTCATAATGCATACCTTTACTGTTGCCTCTTACTTTAAGACTCATAATGCATACCTTTACTGTTACCTCTTACTTTAAGACTCATAATCCATACCTTTACTGTTACCTCTTACTTTAAGACTCATAATGCATACCTTTACTGTTACCTCTTACTTTAAGACTCATAATGCATACCTATACTGTTACCTCTTACTTTAAGACACCTACTGCATACCTTTTCTGTTACCTCTTACTTTAAGACTCATAATGCATACCTTTTTCTGTTACCTCTTACTTTAAGACTCATAATGCATACCTTTACTGTTACCTCTTACTTTAAAACTCATGATGCATACCTTTACTGTTACCTCTTACTTTAAGACTCATAATGCATACCTTTACTGTTACCTCTTACTTTAAGACTCATAATGCATACCTTTACTGTTACCTCTTACTTTAAGACTCATAATGCATACCTTTACTGTTACCTCTTACTTTAAGACTCATAATGCATACCTTTACTGTTGCCTCTTACTTTAAGTCCATATATTTGGGACTGGTAAAAATATAAAAAAAATATAATATGGCATGCTGTGATTCATAATTGACATGGTCTATGTACAGAGTGTACCATGTAATGTTAAACAGAACTTCAGAATTGTTTAGTTTGACAACTTGTATTGCTTGAAATTAAGTAACTTTAGATCAACAAAATGATTGGAAAACTATTTAATAACAAGATTTATTACCTGACCTAATAAGGGATTTGTTTTAAGACCTAAATATAGGTTCATTGTAGAAATAGAAGATATTGCATATAGGACAGGATCAGAGCAAAAAGAACATTAATGATGCAGAAAAAGATTACACACAATCAATCAATTCTCATTTAGAGATTAGATGTAATGAGGTTTCTCTGACACAACTCCCAAATACACCTGATGTTTCAAAATCTATTGCTATTAATACACTATAGATGGTCACAGGTAAGGCTAATCAAATTGCTTGATTGAATACCTTTATCAAGTATAATCCTATCATTAGTAGAAGATGAGTTCAGAAGAACAGAATAAAGGATGGCTTATCTGAACAATGTATAAAGTATGGAATAGTTCTTGATTCTTGAATGCTCATTGTAACGTAAGTGAAAAGAATATATGTGAAATGTTAAAAATAAGTAAAAAGCAGATTTACTTTAATCCCACAGGACAGGATAAAGGGATTGCTTTGATATATCATTAATATAATATTTGTTATATATTATTTATATAACTTTTATTGACATATTGTATCATTACATGATTATATTAGTCACAACTACTCACTACAACTACTGGCTACTATCTTTCTAACTAAAACTACATCAATATAAAAATATACATGATTTAATATATTTACTGAAACAAGTGAAATGCACAAATTATGCTGATTATTCTAAATTGTTAAATGAATGATATATAAATTTACCAAGATGTCATTGGAGAATGATATTATCATTTGAAATTATATTTGTAAATAAATTGTTACTATTCAGATCGAATTTTGGTAATATTTCAGGAATTTTACTGAAAAATATTTTCCTGTGTTGAGAATGCTTTGTACAATTTATGATAAAATGGAATTCATCCTCCACACATATACATGTATTACATAACCTTTCATTTACTGGTTTCACTCTAGGTTTTGTGTGTCTTCCTAATTCTATTCTTAACCTTAATCGACTTATTGGTAATCTATATTTTTGTTATCTTAGCTTTGTATATGGAACTTATTCACAAACACATGCTATCTCTTTAACATTCTTAGAAATGTAGAAAGTGAGTTTCAAAATTATACAATAAACACTGTAAAGGTAACATCATAGTGAAGGTAATAACTTTAACATTACCAAGAAATAATAAAAGGAGTGGTTTGTTATTAAAATATGTAATTATATACCCCTTTCAGCTAAATATAGAACTTATATGGTGTCTTAGAGTAAATATTACCATTAACTTGTTTTATAAGTTTCATGTCCTTTATGAAATATTTTGAGACAATGCTACAACAGTATTTTCCTCTAAAAGTATATGAACTTACACATTTTTGGATTTTTCCTCACTGTTTCATATTTTAAGACACTAAATCACAATTGATATTTTACTTAGAGCATGAAATTCATATTAAAGATATAGATCACCCGGGCAACTGTTTGAGAGAGCAGGGTGTCTGATTAGAGGCTGTATTACTTCCCCTTACAACCTTTAACAATATTGGCTCTGCTGGGCATGTGTATCTATAGAAAGCAAACAACCGGGTCTACCTAAAACTTGGTAACTCCAGGAATAAGCAAATCCCAACAGAATAAAATTCCCTAAAATCAAGGTCTCATGAATCTAAGATGTCATACAATAAATGTCATCTCATTTGATTATACTAAAGCCATGCTTGAAAGTGATCTCAATAAATGTTAATTCCAGCTTTTTAGATAATCAATATTAGATTTTCTGAGGCTTGGTGAATCAAGAAGACATTTTTCTTATATTTCATTCAAAAACACTTCTTAAAATGCATTTTTCTCTGACCCACTTTAATGCATGGATGAGATAATTTATTAATCAACCAATTTTCTTAATTTTTCTTCAAAAGACACTTCAGGATGAATGTTATGCATTGGTGTGAATTATTGCTTATCAAAATATTTGTACAAGCTCTAAAATTTAGTTTTAAATAAATTCATGTTTTTTTCGAATAAATGTCCTTCAAAAACCACATTGTGAAATTTAAAAACAACTACTGTATAATATCAGCCAAAGTTGTTTAAACTTTATATGGGGCCTTTAAACATTTCCTCGATGCTAAGACAATGATATCTATGAAGTATGTTCAACCAATATCAAACTAGAGGATAAATATAATATTCCAAAGTCTTGATTTTCCCCAATAGGAGAATAATATATGAAAATAGACACATTTGCCTTCACTATATTACATTAGCGAGAATTTGGAATAAAAAGCTAAAAAAAACTCTTGATTTAAAGCTTATTGATCAACAAACCTACTCCACACTATTCCCAAAACATGCTCTTCTACTCAAATCCGCTTGACATGCAAGCATGTCGTTGTGTTAACATTTCTGGCTTTCCATTAGTATTCATAGAGCTTCAAGTCTATATTTTTTATTCTATGATTCTACAATTTCCTTGTATCTTCTACTTGAATAAATTGTAAAATATCATAAATTTCAAATTTAATGAGAGTTAATGAAAAGCTGATTCCAATTATTTAGTTTGATGGTTAATCAGGATGTATTTAAGAAATAAAACACACAGGTAGAAGTAGTTCTTGGATGTACAGGCCAATATAACACCAAGTAATTGCTAGCTTGACTGGATCATAAAATACTTTCTGTATAATACCATGTTGTAAAACATCATAGTGCCTGATGTACAAACATAAGAATAAAGTAACCAGGCCAATAGTCAATTCATTAATTGTTTTGAATCAATAGAAAATTATATTTTCCTCTTTTCATAATGGCCAAAAATGGTATGGATTGTGGATTAGCAAAATAATACAAGGTAAGAAACAGTAAATTTGTAGTAGTTGTAAAACTTACAAGGTTCCATAATACGCTATTATTTAGCCTTTTACTGTTTTCCTACAGTATAAAGGTAAGGTACCATAATAAAGGAGTGTTTTATTTAGTTATTATCTTTAAGTGATTAATAATTAGAAACATCACGGAAGTAAGAGATTCTGTTTTAATGTGATAACAAATTAAAGTGGGATTAGATCAGTAATGTAAAGATGTAACATCATCTACAGGTTCTTCTATTCAAATGTGTTTCCAAGCTTTTCCTGCTAGATGTGATCAATATCCCAGATGCGAGTAGAAATAATCTTGATTTACGTCATTAAAAACTCACAAACAGTCAAACTGATGTCATATTTGGAATCTACATGTAAAATTACACCTAGAAATGTGGTTTTGCAAAGAGTTTATCAACTATGAAAAATTATTTTTCTTTGAAAATGTGACTTCTAGGTCAGGGAGATTCCCCATAGACCCCATGTTGTAAAAGCACAAAAAGTGAAATATCTTTTCTTGTGTTGGGCAGATAATATTTTCTTTTACTGGACATATTTTAATTTATATAACTATCAGATACATAAGGGTAATATGAAAAGTGAACCACTAAAACTGATGCATATTCAAGTTTAAGGGAATTTTGTAATACCCTGCCATGTTAATTCCCCCGAATCAGCCACCTGGTGCCGAAACTGGTAACTACCTACTCGCATCTGAGTAATTGTCATTTCACATCATTTTGACTATTGGCTACAAGTCAATGGTATTCCTTGTTTTCTGCCTCTTTTAATTGGGTACTCTACTACTAATTAAAGCTATTAATTTAATTCATTTAGAAAACATGAGACAATACTTGGATGTACATATTTTTGATGCACTGTTAACACATCAGGAGTGATTGCTTGTCTACAGTTTAATTGAATATAGAAATTTAATAATTTAATAACTGGTCAATAAATTGCTGCCTACAGGGATATTTCTTCATGCTTTAGCAATAGGAGAGAAAGTTTGTATCAATGTTTAATGATGGCTGCCTGGAATTTGACAAGGTAAATGGTGTCAGAGTTAGAGCATAGCCCCCTTTTACAATAAACTTACAAATAATATACTGTCCCAATACTAAATATGTGATCATAACACCATTTCATTCATACTGAAGTCATTACAATGCATATTAAAAATGATGTAATACAGACAAAATTCAATCTCGTCCATAAGCATATCAAAGGGTCAACATCCGTCCGTAAAGCCATCACCATAATCTATACAACACAATATTTCACAATGGTCATCATCTAAAACATCATCATCTAATGATGACATTATTAGTATACTCATATGTCATTGAAATGAGGTATCTATGTACCCTATGACTTAAATTGCTGAATTATTTCAGATAATAGGTGTCATTTGACAAAGTTGTACAGCAAGAATGACAACAATCAATCGGTGACAATTACTACAGAACTGCACAACCATATATGTGAAATACAGGATGCTAAGATTGCCTCCAGTGATGCATCAATGCATCATTCTCCTAATCTTAGCCCCCACCACCATCGCATTCAAGAACAAGAACAACCAAATCAAGACTGTGTATCGGAAAGATGGTGATATCACAATAGGTGCAATATTTCCAATCCACCTAAGCACACCTGATCGCCAATGCAGTGATAAATTGCTTGTGTTTGGAAGAGGGGCAGGCGCTATTGAGTTTGTTGAGGCTATGGAGTTTGTTATCAATAAAATCAACAGAAATGACTCCATTCTACCAAATGTGACCCTGGGATTGGTCGTCCTTGATGATTGTTTTTCACCCTTTTCTACATGTAAGTGTGCCTGTGTGTATTGTTATTCCTAGAGCTAACATTTAAAACAATAATAGAGCATGCTACATTTTAGTTAATGGGTTCATTATAAGAATTGACAAAGGAATAAAAAATAACAAGTTATACATCATTCTTTGATTGTTCAGATGGCATTCAATTATGCATGACCCAAGCAGCCCAACATGTTCATATGTCTGCTTTCAGACCAGGCACTCCAGATTGGACGTACCCATGAGGTAACCCCAAATCCAGATGAATATGATGAAATGCAAGGAGTACGAAACATAACAGCCGTAATCTCAGGGCCAACTAGCTCAGCTTCAATGCTCATAACTCAGATGCTAGAAGTATTCCAGGTCCCCACCATTGGACATGCATCTACAAGCGATCAACTCAGTGATAAAAAACGGTTTCCATACTTTTTGAGAATAACACCACCAGATAGTTTTCAGGCTTGGGCAATTGTTGACATAATCTCATACTTTAACTGGACATATGTATCTGTTATATACCAAGATGATGACTATGGCATTAATCTACTGAAGAACATTGTTAGACTGACAGATGAAAGGGGTATCTGTATTGCGAATGAGAATCCCCTCACAGACCACAGCACTGAAGATGATATTGATAAAGTCTTCAACAATATCAATGATGCTAATGTTGAGATTGTAATCATGGTGGCCTTCTCAACTGTCATCAGGACAACCTTCAAACAAGCTATCTCCAGAGAGATGTATGGAAAAGTGTGGATACTGGGGGATGCTGGCTTCAAAGTGTTCCACAATACAGGCTTCGAAAAGATAGCAGCCAGTAGCATTATGGTGTCTCTTTATTCAACAATAGATGAAGAATTTGAAGAGTTTCAGAACAATCTTACCCCTGCTAACAATCAAGATAACCCATGGTATCCAGAATTATGGGAGAGTTACCATGGGTGTCAATGGGTGAACAGCAGCACTGATTCATACTGTGAGAACTATGGAAGCATCAATTATCCCATCACTAACAACAATATCTACTCCCTTACCATGGATGCCCTGAACAGTGTTGCTAATGGTCTCAACAATCTGATCAGTAAAGTCTGCCCTGAAGTATTCACAAACACAGAGCACCTAAAGACATGTCTATCAGATGGTGCTAGGGTCTTAAAGTACATACAAAATGTCAACTTTCATGGGATCACTGGACATATTCAGTTTGATCGCAATGGCGATGGCTACCTTAGATACAAGGTCAACCAAATCCAATTTAATGGTCCACAGTACGTCTTAGCTGAAATAGGTTATTGGGATCGAGATGAGGGTTTGTCGCTTCAAGTGAAAGAACAATGGATAGATGTGGAGAATAAAACAGAGATAGAGATTGTGAGTGATGCCCCAAGAGCTATCTGTAGTGAACCATGTCTCAAAGGACAGTACATGATAAAGAAGACTCTCCATTGTTGCTGGGACTGCCACACATGTAGAGGCAATGAGATTGTTATCAACAATTCTAAATGTGAACAATGTCCTGACAATCAATGGCCAGATCAGACAACGTATGAGTTCTGTCGACCAATCATACCAGAATTCTTAAAACTGGATGATGTTATATCAATCTGTTTGCTATTCTTTGCCTCAGTGGGACTTTTCGGATGCATCACTGCACTCTCACTCATGGTTAAATACAGGAAGGAAAAACTGATCAAAGCATCAAGTCGTGAACTCCTAGCTGTTACCCTGTGTGGAACAATACTCAATTTCCTCACAGTGTTTTTCATTGTGGCCAAACCGACTACTTGGTCATGTGTGATGTACCAGAATGGCTTCTACCTAAGTGGGTCTCTCATCTATGTCCCTCTGCTCATCAAGGCTAACAGGGTCTTTAGGATCTTCAGCCTCTCCATGAAAACCACTAAGAAACCAAGATTTGTGGCCTCTAAGTGGCAGCTCATCTTTTGCTCCATCTTACTAGGAATACAGGTATAGTGAGATAAGCAATCTTCAACACAAAATACACATTTTCTGTTTTAATATCCCCATTGTATTTTACTTCACGATAATCATACATTAACACAAGTTGCTTACAGAGACATATGTCCTGTAGAGGTACCAGGCAATGACTAACCTTAACACTAAATCACAAAACAAATATTAGCTCCAGTAGCTCAGTGCTGCCTAACAGAGTTTCAGTTCAGCATTAACAATATTAACTGAGTTGCTTTGTATTTGATTTAGGTGATCCTGATGCTGATATGTGGTGTCTTGTCACGCGCCAAGGTGACCCTCAGAATGCCCATGGCCCTAGAGAACTACACAGAACTGATCTGCCACCAGCCTGTAAGATTGTTCATGGTACCACTTATCTACAACATTTTGCTCATCTTGGGCTGTGTTTACTTTGGTGTGAAGACTCGTAAGTTGCCAGACAATTTCAATGAGTCTAAATTCATTGTATTCAGTGCTAGCACTACCTTCTTAATATGGTGCTCATTTATTCCTACTTATTTTCTGGCATTCTACTCATACCAACGTGTGGTTCTCCTCTCCATAGCTTTACTCCTTAATGGCTTTGTTACCTTGTTGTGTTTGTACACCCCTAAACTATATGCTGTTGTCTTTGTGGAGGAGGACAAACAGATGGTTCATATGGTCCCACAGACCTCAAATCCTATACAGGTGCAGCCTATAAATCCAGATGAGAGAAGTGGAAATGTCTTACATCCAGTAGGGGTCTATCATCTACATCCTGGCAATCATACTAATAGGACAATGCTATCTGTTTCATCATAGGTGAACAAGATATCATCATAGGTGAATGAGAAATCATCATAGGTAAACTTGATGTTATCATAGGTAAATAAGTGAACAGAAAATCATCATAAATGAACATGATATCATCATAGATTAAAAAGGCAGCATCAATTGTGAAACTGATGTTATAGGGGAGCTAGAAATCCTCATTGATAGGTAAACTTATTGTCAGATGTCTGGTTAATATGTATATCTGTACATGTATGTATGAGCACCTTATACTGATGGGTAAATCATGATTTTATCATTAAGTCTGTCATATTAATGGGGTAATAAAATTACTTATGGATCATTAAATTGAATGGAAATATTATATTCTCATATATATATATATATATAGATTTACTTTTCCATTGTTTTGTATAAATATTGCAACATCAAATCTGCACTAAACATAAAAAATATAATATATTTATCATATGATCTGTATAATGAAGTCTTCTGATTGGTCAGTTCTTGTGCTGTACCAATCGGTATTGCTACTGAGATTGTCCGCATTTATCATCTCCATCGCAATACAGACAAGGCATTAAAATGACAAAATGTCACCACCTAGTGGCTCACAATATTAGTTCAATCTAAAGTCAGATTTGAATTTCTGAGAACTCTGTGTATGATTTTGAAAAAAATTGGTCAATTTGAAGCAAGTTTTTTGACCCTGAGAAGGTCATGAAGGTGAAATCTCAAATCTCAAGTCAGATTTGGACTTCTGAGAACTTGGAGATGATTTTGAAAAATGGTCAATTTGAAGCAAGTTGAAAAAATACATTTTTGACCTTGAGAATGTCATTAGAGGTCAAATCTATTGACAAAAAATTGGTCAATTTGAAGCAAGTTGAAAAAATACCTTTTTGACCATGAAAAGGTCATTGAAGGTCAAATCTTAAATGTAAAGTCAGAATTTATTTGAACTTTTGAAAACTTGTAGATGATTTAGAAAAAATTGAAGTCAGTCTATTTTCAGTAGCAATACAGAGGATCACACGAAAAAAAACCGTCATAGAACAATTTGAAGTGCAATACAGGATATATTCTGCTCTGGATATTCTGTATTGGCACTCGACTTCGTCTCGTTCCAATACAGAATATCTAGAGCAGAATATATCCTGTATTGCACTTCAAATCATTCAATCACATATAATATCTAAATCTGTCTCTTAGCTTTTATTGTGATGTTATCACAAATCTTGTCATATTCATGGGCTGATAACACTTACTTATGGTTCATTAAATTAAATTGAGATATTCTATTTTCATATTATGTATATGTTTACTTTTGTATTGTTTTGTATAATTATTATTAACATCAAATCTGTAATAAACATAAAATACATATACATGTACTGTATGTATATTTGTCTGATTTAATCTGTCTCAACTTTCATATGACAGTACTCTTGTCAGAAGTCACATGGCGCAAAACAAATAAGTGGAATGAAGTGCAAAAGAATCAAGGAATATAACTCAGATGCCCATAAGGATTGTAAGGGGATATCATCGAGTACAAGTAAAGAAAATCGGAATATCAATTATTTCTGTGAGAATGATGTATGTCAATTATTACACATACTTACAGACTTGCACCACTGAAGAATCATTGACATCCTGGTCCTTTAGCCTCCTTTCCACTACAGAACCTCACTTTAAAAAGGTAGCCATGTTGATATCCTGTGTGGCATAACTAACATTTTGCCTGGACACCACAGCAAAAACTATCTTGGATGATAAAATCTATAGAAATCTTCCATTGGCCTTTGTCGGTTTTTCCATCACAAATTATTTTGGATTTCCTGAATGATCCTTTTTAGCATAGTGTGAAGAAATCTGTTAGAGCAATTGCTTTAATGCCCTAATCAACAGGCAATCTTTCATACTTATCCAATCTTTACTGTATCAATCAATATATCCAATCCAAAAACAATTTCAAATGACTTATAAGATATCAGATTATTTTCCAAATTTTTCTGTTTTGAATTGTTGTGTGTCCTTATGACAGCAAACAATATATATGTATCAGCTGTTGATAAATAATTTAGCAGCTGTAGGTGAATGATGAAACAGCTGTAGAGAGATATCATACATGTTGTAGATGCATTTTGAAATAGATGTAGATCATTGTTATATCACATGTAGATCTATGTCACGGCTGATATAGAAAAATGACCTAATTAGCATCTGTAGAGAAATCGAAAAAGATAATGGCTGCTTAAATCCAACATTGATAATATCAATATGTGCTAAATTTCAGCTGAGAAGCAGCTTCTTTCATCTATGTACAAAATTCTGACAAAAATCAATATAGAAAGAGAGACTGATCTAAACACCAGGTCTACTGGGAGACAACGATACAACTTTCCCAGATATTAGCCATGATAACGTGGGTTTGAAAGGAGTATAGCTAAAACAAGAGTTAATTTTATGGCATAATGCAATTTAGGGCCATTATACTGGAGAAGAGAATAGAATCTCACTAATCTGTATCAACAGGTTCCTACTTACAAACAAAATAAAAAGTGCATTTTGTCGCTATCACAAATTTGAAATATCAAGATACTCTGGATTTATATCATTCCCCAATTATCTATTAGAGTTTGAAAGGTATATCCCTGTCTTACCTATGTCAAGGGCTGCTGACTGATTCTGACAGTCTTTACACACATACAATAATCCGATATATAATCGTAACACCTGAAACTGAAATACTGCTGCTGAAATGCAGCTGCTTACTTTAGATCTCCTAACAAAAATGGCTGTTGATTGTGAAACTATGTAAAGTTTCAGGTGCATCTGTGCCGATCAAGACATATTTTTATTGGTTGAGGTAGATATTTTCTACGAGAAATTAAAATGGTGGTTTTAACAGAAATTTTACGATAAGTTATTTTCCGTTAAAACCGCCATTCTAATTTCTCTTAGAAAATCTCTACCTCGAACGATAAAAAGAAATCTTGATCAGCACAGAGGCACCTGAACATTTGGGGATATAAAGTAAGTAGCTGAATTCAGTATTTCAGTTTCAGACATAGAGATTATCCTATATGAGGTTCAGAATATTGGGATTATCCCGAGGCCTGGACTACCTACGGCCCTCGGGCAGATATATTATATTGGCCAAGGGATAATCCAAATATCCTGAACCGACTATAGGATGATCTGTTTATCCCATACCAATCACATTGTTCAATTTGCCAAAGTTCAGAAACTTTGCAACCAACCATGGAATATTCTTAAAATATTCATGTCCAGTTTTGTATTCCTGTTTCTTTCCTATTCAAATCTTTGATTATTAACGCCGGTACACTGCTCCTTCCCCTCTTTAAAGCATCAAACAGGTCGAGATTGTCTGCGTTTTTCTCCATTGTCGCTTACAGTATGCGAACGTTACAAAAAAGAACCAATACGGGAACAGCGATTATGACGTAGCGGGCAGATATAGTATATCTGCCCGCTCGGAGCGGGACGTAAAGCTATATCTGCCCGCTGATGAAAATATAAGTTTTTACAAACCGGCTTTATGTACCCGTAACACGTCCAAGTATGGGATAAATTACGATTACCTAATGGCCAATCCCAGTCAGCCAAAGGCTGAATAATCAGATCAGTCCAGGCTTTGAAATAGGTAACCCCTGTCCATGTTTGTAACCTTACCCCAAATTACCTATCAGATTTTGATGTTAACCCAGACCATAGTCAACTTGAACCCTTGTCAACCCAGATCAGAGTCAACTTGAACCCTAGTCAACCCAGATCATAGTACACTTGAACCCTCGTCAACCCAGATCATAGTCAACTTGAACCCTCATCAACCCAGATCATAGTCAACTTGAACCCTAGTCAACCCAGATCATAGTCAACTTTAACCAAGTCAACCCAGATCATAGTCAACTTGAACCCTAGACAACCCATATCATTTTCAGGTTGAACCAAAGTCAACCCAGATCATAATCAACTTTAACCCTAGTCAACCCAGATCATAGTCAACTCGAACCTGAGTCAACCCAGATCATAGTCAAGTTGAACCCAAGTCAAGTCACACCCTAGACAACTCAGACTAAGTCTACCCAGACAGACCCAAGCCGACGTCATATATCAATTATTACATATACATATATTGTTACCAATTAAATCTCTGTTCGAATATTTCAGCTTGAACTTTTGTGGCTTGATTTATGGAGTCAAAAGTAAATGGAATGAAAACTGAGATTTTGTTCTGAAGTAATCTTTTAAACAAAAATATGAACACATAATTTGTAAATGTTAAAATACAACAGAGTTGATTATTTCAAACTGTCCTTTTCAGTGGTTTTGTAAATTATGAGCTCAAGCATGTGAATCATCGTTGGTTCCCACGCTCAATCACTATATTCTATCAGGTACGAAGCTTGATGAAGCAAGATAATGTGAATGTTGTATTGAAAAGAAGAAGAAGAAGAGAAAAAGAAGAATCTTGTGATTGTAAGCTTCTAAAACAAATAAAGTTATGAAGTGTTATTTTAAGAGTTGCCCCTTTGTTCCTAATTGGTTAATACTCAATGCAGTGATAATGTATGTACTTCCAATTAGAGGTTCACTTACAGAGATCAATATGTCAGCCTACAGGAAATGAACTAAAAGAGAACTCTAAATTGAAGATAAATTGAAACTGACACTAATTTAATCTTCATTGGAGAGTTTAGAATTAATTTAATGATGGGGTACTTTGGATGACATTGAAACCATGAGTTATATTCAATATCAAATCCCACTGAGCACTAACATAGATTTTTGTCTCCCAATAATAGCATTTTAAAGTAAAGTCTTAAATGAGATAGCATATTGTGAGATACAGCATAACAGTAATGTGTATCTCCAAATGTAATCATTTCCACTCATAATTAAGGAAGGCATATTTCCAATGTTGATGAGTAGTAGGGTCTGTCTGGGTAGATTTAGTTGTCAAGGGTGTGACTTGACTTGGGTTAAAGTTGACTATGATCTGGGTTGACTAGGGTTCAAGTTGACTGTGATCTGGGTTGACTTGGGTTCAAGTTGACTATGATCTGGGTTGACTAGGGTTCAAGTTGACTGTGATCTGGGTTGACTTGGGTTCAAGTTGACTATGATCTGGGTTGACTAGGGTTCAAGTTGACTATGATCTGGGTTGACTAGGGTTCAAGTTGACTGTGATCTGGGTTGACTTGGGTTCAAGTTGACTGTGATCTGGGTTGACTTGGGTTCAAGTTGACTGTGATCTGGGTTGACTTGGGTTCAAGTTGACTATGATCTGGGTTGACTAGGGTTCAAGTTGACTATGATCTGGGTTGACTAGGGTTCAAGTTAACTGTGATCTGGGTTGACTTGGGTTCAAGTTGACTGTGATCTGGGTTGACTTGGGTTCAAGTTGACTATGATCTGGGTTGACTAGGGTTCAAGTTGACTGTGATCTGGGTTGACGAGGGTTCAAGTTGACTATGATCTGGGTTGACTTGGGTTCAAGTTGACTATGATCTGGGTTGACTAGCTTATCATTTATGGAATTAAATATAACAATTGATGTACAATGCTATTTTTCACAATAATGTTTTCAACATTATAATAATGCTTCTACAGTAACTATGGTCTGAGTTGATGAGTGTGTTTGAGTTGACTATAGTCCAAGCTGACCAGTTACTATGTAAAATACTCATATTCATCATTCTGACATTCCTTTCACACCTTTCTGCATTTCCTTTATTACAACTTAGCTGAGAAATGTCCATGTCATATATCATGATGTGCATTAACATAGGTATGTGAAAGTGTGAAAGTCTAAATGTTGCTAATTCTTCTGTTATGATTCTCACAGCCCTAGGGATGGTCATCTATTTTCTTATACTACAGGGTGGGCCAAAAAAAAACCAATACCCAACTTTAAATCAGACTGAAAATAGCTATGTTCAATATGATACATTGATTTATATATCATTTTAAAGGTAATCCATTTTCGAACAATTTGGTATACAACACTTTGTCATGAAATCAATATTAAAGTTTTATTATGTTTATTTGCGAGGCCGGGTCAGTATTTAAGGTATCCAGATTTTAGGGAGAAAATAGTAAATCTGTGGAATAATGTTAATTTTTTATTTATAGAATATCATTTTGTTAGGTGAATAAATGCTTGTATATTTGCATATTGTGTGACTAAACTTATTGTTCATGAATTTTAGTGTTGTTTATTATCAATAAGTACTCAAAGGGGGTCTGTTAAAAGACATTAAACGTATATGTGACGAGGATTTTATTTTCCAACATGACATTGCCTCGTACTATAGATCTCAGGAGACATTGGCATTCCTTGGCAAACAAGGTGTCAATTTGATTGATCTCGATGCTTGGCCACCCAACAGCCCCTATGCTACATGTAATGTGTTTGATTACCATACATGGGGCCATATCGAGGAAATGGTACAATCAAAAGCATCCAATAAACAGCTTTGATGAGTTGAAACAGAATCCTAAAGTGCTGAAATGAATTGCAACACAAATCTCTCAAAAAAACTATTAATAGATTGCGCTACCACTTGAAGCTTATTGTTGATGCAGAGGGGAGGGGGTGGGGGTATATTGAGCAATTGTGAAAATTGTTTGAATAAATAAAGTGTAAAATGTTATTAAACAACACTGAAATTCATAAACAATAAATTTAGTCACACAATGATGCAAATATTAATATCCAAGCATGTATTCACCTAACAAATGAATGATATTCTATAAATAAAAAATTAACATAATTCCGCAGATTTACTATTTTCTCCCTTAAATCTGGAGACCATAAATAGCAACCCGGCCTCCCAAATAAGTATAATAAAACTTTACTATTGATTTCATGACATAGTGTTATATACCAAATTGTTTGAAATTGTGTAACCTTTAAAATGATATGTAAGTCAATGTACCATATTGAATATAACTATTTTTATCCTGATTTGAAGTTGGGTATTGGTTTTTTTGGCCCACCCTGTAGTATGTGCAATTCTATCTTCTTGTATTTAACATTGATGGATGTAAACTGATAATGCAGTTAATATCATCCTCATTCACTGCCAATAAGGAATGATCATTGTGGCCATATCTTTTTAAACATTGAAGTTCCTGTTTTTCTAAAAAACTGTACAATTAAGAGAAGTTATAAGCTGTTCCTTATTACTTCAATTAATTTATACCCTATTGTGTAAGACTATTCTAGCATGTTTAGCATATCAGGGGGACGATAACAGTACAGGTGAACATGCTTGCACATGACCCTCAGCTATTCTCATTTGGCCTAAATGTGCAACAAGACACAGGATCACACCCTTAAAAAGAATGGACAGTTTTCAGGACTAAAGATCCAAAATGGCAGCCCTAACATTGCCCTAACAGAATGCCCAAAAACTAATAATCAGTTCTTAACTTTCAAACGTAGAAGCATCCCTAAAGGTTTGGCTGGAAACCTGTAGACAAGCTTGGACAGACAGGATGTTAGGATGAACAATTCAAAATGACCATCCTAACATTTACTTAGAATGCCCAAAAACTAATCAGTTCATAACTTTCATATGTAAAAACATCCCTGAAAATTTCAGATGACTCCTGGAATGGTTTGGCTGGTAACCTGTAGATAAAGCCTGGACAGACAAGACACTGATTTCAGATTAATCCAAAATGACCACCTAAACATTTACCCAGAATGCCTAAAAAACTAATCAGTTCTAACCTTTCATACAAAAACATCCACGAAAATTTCAGGTGAATCCATGAAACGGTTTGGCTGGAAATATTTAGACACGCCTCGACAGACAAGATTTTAGGACAGAAAATCTGTCAACTGAATACATCTTTAGTACCTGTAATACACTGTTTTGCATAGATATGCATAGTAATGAGAATTTATTTGATTTTAGTTAAAAGCTTGAGTTTTAAACTATTCTCCAAAATATGGTAGAGAATGGTTTACTTAAGGTTTAGCATGCCTTTAGTAAGGTTGACTTCACTGTTCTAAATAAATAAGGTCGGCCATATTACAAACAAGATGATGTATGTAGCAGTATATATACATGTGCTAACAAACCACCCTCCTTAAGCAGTGTTTTAAAAGCAATTAGAAACAGAAGGTCTTTCGAATAAATCAGTATTAAATGTCATGATACATTGTAAAGAAAGCCATATTTCTTGGATGAAGATATGCAATGGATCTGGTATAAGAACATACAGGAAGTATTAATTAATCAGGATTAATCTGCAACAAAGCATGGTTATTTAGCTAGTTTGGATAAACTTACATCAAACTGTATGAAGTACTCAAGTGTCTTTTGTTTCTGCAATGGAAAATAATAATATACAGAAATGACAAGAACAAGAAAAAAAGGAAACACTAAAAAGTTGATTAAGCTTATGGAACAACACTTCATCTTGATTGTGTATTCTGATCATTGTATTACTGTATCATTATTATAAGACTTAAATTATAAAATCAATTGACAATGTATTAACACTGAAAATGTCACCTGGTAAGTTATTACACTTTGTTAGATGAGTGGAATAATTTGTTACAGACACTTGCTGCAGGCAACCACCAAATGATGGTCAAACATATCATATTCTTGGTATTTTAATAAAACACAATTTCGTCCAGAAGCATGTATTTTATCTTATTCTTTCTTCACAAATGACTTATTACTAATTACTCATTTTAAATGTCTATTTGGACAGTCTTTCATGTGAAATATTCTGTTAGTTTATCTTAAGGCCTCAGGTTTTCATGTTTGAACATCAACTGCAAGCAAGTATGACTCAGCCAGGAGTTGATATTCTTAATGTCAGATTGATTTCCTCTTATAATAAAACATGAAATCAAAGTTGCTCATACTCAGGGTTATTATAGACTCACGCAACATTGACAGTGGTAATGAGGAGATTCAACTCTCCTGAACATTATCTTTTAATGCAATAAGCTAAATTAAGGCTGCCAATTAGTTTTAATTTGTGTTGTTACTCATGTGTAATATGAAATAGAAATTCTGTTCAAGATCTATTATATCCCTATGATTTGACACCCTTTTGAGAAAACATTCAACATTCGAACATTTATCTCAGACACAAAGCTTCTTTAACAGTAACATGAGCTGACATCTATATGTCAAGAAAAAATGTTTTATATTTCCAAATCAATTGTTGAATATACACATTACTCATGTCTGATGACCATGGACACTATGTAGTTTTGCAATTTGGTTGGCAGTAATTCTATTGATAAAATGCAGGTTTCCTATCTTGAAACTTTTAAGTAAGTAATTTCAAAATGACTTTGATATGGAACTGTACATCAGGAAAGTATGGAGTCAAATAACATTTCAGCTGTACACATGCAGTATAATCATGGTGCCAGTTTACAAATTTATATTACAGTAAAACCTGTTTATAGTGAACACCTATGGAGCCACAAAAAGTTTTCCCTGTAGGTTGGTGTTCACTACAGAGAGGGGATTTTATACAGGAATCTTGAATGGCATTCACTAAACACATGTGCTCACTATAGAGATGTGTTCACTAAGACAGACTCTACTTTGCATGTGATTTGCACTATTGTTGTGTTTCTATTTCTTAGAAATAGAAACAAAAGTTTAAACATGGGATGAAAAATTAAGTAAAACAAATACTAATTTAGTCATGTACAAAAATAAAACTGCTAAAGTCAACAATTCTATTAACTAAATGTAAGAACAACACAAGAGTAATGTGTAATAATGTGCATACATACCACGGGGAGTTAGTCACCCCCCCCCTCTATATAACAATATAATATTATATTGTTATATAGAGAGGGGGGTGACTAACTCCCCGTGATACATACATACATACAATAGGAGTAATATCAAGAGGATATGAAGCAGTTGTGAAGCTTGTATAAATACCAGAATCTAAATTGGAAGTCCACATTAGTGATTACAATTGATATTTTATAAGGTGATGTAGCAGATTGTGTATTATAGCAATTATCCATTGTGTGATCCACTGTAGCTGTACATGCACTTCCCTTGGAGAACAAGCTATCAAGTTGGACTACTCATAAATCACAAGTCATTATAATTTTGGGTTAATTCCTGTGATCCCTCTCCCAATAAAATAACAAAGTAAGGCGTGTGCGGTTGGCTAGATGGCAGAAGCTTGTCTGTTAGACTGGTCATCGCCGTAAGCCAGGAAAAACAATTGTTTCTCATGTCTGAGTTAATTAGAGGCTGTTTTTTTTTCAAAAAAAAAATTGATTAATTGTAGTGGAACATAGGAACATCTGAAAGTTTAGAAAGAGGTGAAAGGACATCAAATCTATGGAGACCTAACATTTCATAAACTAACAAGATATAAACTACAATTGTGTATGAACAGAATATAACAATTCACCATATTAGTTTTTACATCATGCTTTAAAATGTAAATTAATGTCACCTCAATGACTGGATGTCAATTAAAGGCCTCCTCACACATGAACGAATCAACTAAACATAGCTTTGCAAAGGATAGGTATCGATATGGAGAACTGAATCCAACAATGTTTTTCTCTTAAACCAATCATTGAAAACATTCTGTAAAAAACATGGTATTGTATGTAATGTTGACTGATTGACAACAATTTAATGCAAAAATTATTTAGAAATATTTTATATAACTGTTTTTGTTAACATTTTTTGTTTTTTTAGTGCAATTGTTTTTGCTCCTTTCTACCAATTCTTGAGAATGAAATAAAATGTCTTTCCGAACCTTGTTGGAACAAAATAGCATATACAACATGTTTTTAGAACTCTCAATATTAAAGCTATACAAAGGAATTTTTGGTTGATTTTAAAAAAGTATTCAAAAAATTAAAACAAAATCCCCCCAAAATAGATAAAAATCAAGAAAAACCTTTTATTTCATTAACAAGATAGTTTTTTAAAATCAACCAAAATTTCCTTTGTGCAATTACAATATTGAGAGAACTAAACATGTTGGGTTTATGTCATTTTGTTCCAATGAGGTTCGGAAAGATGTTTCATTTCACTCTGGAAACATGATACCAAGAACAAAACAAGTGTTTGATGTGTTTTTTAAAACAATATAGATGAAAGTATGTATATCTATTTCAAATTATATTGTTACCATTCAAAAGATGGCCATTAATTTGACAATTTGTAAGATTTTTAGAAATTTTTGATGACTGGTTGAAGAGAAACGTGTGTTCAAAAGCATAACGCATAACTTTGTGCATGCTTTCAAAGCCGTTGGAAACTTTCCGAAAGGGTACTTTCAGATACACCACCAATGATATTCTCATTTGTATAACGTACATATACTAATGGGAACGAATTTTACTCAGGTCCTATTGGCCAGTCCAAGCAATTTGACATTGGGGTTTTTTCGCTCATACGTGAGGAGGCCTTAACGCATTAAAATAGGTAGATGCAAATTGTGCCTATAAAGTTTTGTCATCTTTCATGCCTATCCTCTACTTACCTTAGGGGGGCTCAGCTTGAGAGAACTAGAGGATGTGGTCTGGCGGTTGATTCTGTGAGTCGGACTCTGAAAACAATATCAGAAATAAAAGAAGCAGATTCAACTCTTGAATGATAAATCTACTGGACTTGCACGAGGGAGAAAAAAACTCTAAAGCTACTGAACTTACATGTATCGAACAGCAATCTCTGAAGCGCCTCACATCATCTATACTAGTAAAGTTGAGTCCCCACTCCTGGAGTGTGCGGCTGTCTTTCCATTGTACAAATGTCTCTGACACTATATTTATCTTGGTACCTGAAAGTACATTTACTTCACACATTTATGAGTCTGACACAACATTTCAAAATGCTATTAGTTTTCAAAAGTTTTAAAAATCTTAAAAGTTTTAACATTTAAAAGTTTAAAACTTTAAAAATGTTACAATTTCATTGTATTGTATTGAACTAAAGGAATATTACGAAAATGTTAAATATAAATTGTGCTTTACAGCATAGGCCTATCTTGTCATTTGAAAAAGGTGGAACCCCAAGCCCACTCAAGTATGAGATACACCAGTTATGGACGATTGGTTTTGGATATAGGGCATATGCCATGGGAAATATTTATATCTTCCCTTGCTTGGTTCCTACAGTCCCTCTGGGAGATATAAATATATCCCTCAGGATATACCCTATATCCAAAACCTCCCAGTACATAACCCTTATGTATTCCATACTTGATAAGGTTTCAGGGACAAATCAACCGGAAACATTCCATTTCCGGGCAAATATTTCTCTTATATCCCACTCCAACAAGGATCTGAGACATATAAATCATATAATGTCCCACATAAGCCATTCTCCGGGACATACAATGGCTATATGTCCCTCCCAGGAATTCACGTCATTACTATTTCCGCACTGAACTAAACAATAGACGAAAATGTTAAACATTTCATTTGCATTTATACCTTTATGTCAGAAATACATGTCAAATATTTATATTTTGCAAGTTAACACATCAGAGCATATGGGATACATGCTTATTATTTCAAACCTCATCAGCTATGGAATACAACAGTTATGCAAGGTCAGTTTGGATACAGGAAATATCAATTGCTATATACAATTATGTCTTCCCTTGATCCCTACAGGCCCTCAGGAAGATATATTGTATATCCCTTGGGATATTCCCTGTATCCAAAACCCCCTAGTGTATGAACCCTGTGTATTGTCTATGGCAAACTATACCAGTAAAATTTAACCTAAATTAGACAGGTCAAAGTAACTTTTTCTAAAAATGTATTTTAATAATTAGATTGGAGAAATTGAACTTGCACCCCTCCCGGCGATGACCAGTCTAACAGACAAGCTTCTGCCATCTAACCAACCGCACACGCCTTGTTTTGTTATTTTATTGGGAGAGGGATCACAGGAATTAATCCAGATTCCATTTTTTATCTAAAAAATGATTTTGATATTTGATATTGATGAGAAAGTGAGAAAGAAAATGTATAAGTTCTATTCTTACCAAATTTAAAAGCAAAATATTGAAATTTAGTGTGATAAAAGCGAAAATTAGAAAGAGGACTTAGATTTTGACCTTGAGGGTCCTTTTATATTGTTTTAACTCTTCAAGTCGAAACAAAGATTTTAAACTTTTGACTTTTCAACTTTAAAAGGTCATAGAAGGTCAACCGGAAATCGGATCTCAATTTTGATTTCAGATTCAAAATCCTGAGAAAAATTCCTATTAAATTGATACCAATCTAACGGGAATAACATGATGTAAGCCAGTTGCAAAATCTCCCTACTATGCCCGAAAAAGTTTGTATTTCATGAGTGGCCAGCAGAAGAATCCTTAATAGTAATCCAGAATTCATATCAATTTGTCATAACTTTCTCTTTGTTTGCTAAATCCAATCTTTTGATATTATCCCTTCCACTCTTCCATTGATGACATAAATCTGATTTTTTCTACAATAATATTAAGCACTTTTGAGGTGGGTTGAAGTAATAATCATATAAGAAATGTTAAAATATACCTGGTTGGCGGAGTCTAACATCAAAGATCTTCTCAACGTGTCTGTTATAAGCTGAGATTTGGAATATTGTATCTGGGGTCTCTTGGACACAGATGATATTGACAGGTACAACGTCATCTGAGATTCTTTCCCATCGCACTTCATTCTCCCATTCTTCAACATGGAAGATCTCTGCCCATAGCCTAGAATTACATAATTACATAATGAAAATTATGATCAGAAATCAGATGATGAGGCAACAATGGGGGAAAAAACCAATTAATTTTAGTATAATTCCGAAAGATGGACTAAGATGGACCACCTGATGGAAGAACGGACCATTGAACATCTTTAAGTATCAAGTAAATAATCAGTGAACACTTTTTACCAGAATGGAACATATTTTCATTTTAGAATTATATTAATACTTCAAAATTTAGAATAAAAAGCTATTGCGAAGGCTTTCACTTCACCCCAAGAATCTTTTTTTTATTTGGACCGCAGATCAGATCAATCCTGACTCAGAAAATATTTACAAAAAGTGACACCTTTACGTCAGAATGAAAAATATTTCCATGAAGCTGAGAAGGTTTGTAAAAATGAATTCAGCTTACAGCTTTGAGTACATAATTTTAATAACCAAAATATATTATAATAGCAATCCCTATATAAGTCTTACATCAATCAACGCATCCTTCCAATCAACATTTCCTTTCAATCAATCTATGATTAAACAAATCAGTTGATACATAGAGAACATCAAACAATACAGTCATAAATCAGCTTTCATTGAATAAATAATTTACATCACAATGTAACATGTAATTCCTGTATAAGTCTGTATTAGCCTTTCCTAATATATCTACCACCTAACAGGTAACCTTTAATTGCATATGCAAAAACCTACCAAACAAACAAGCCCCTATCAATCAACTATAGCAGCCTAACAATCAACTTACCTGAGGAGATGGGCATCTTTCTTCCAAGGTGAGATATCATCTCTGTAGTGCTTCTTCCACAAGGGGGCACACAGCTTATTCCCCATGGTAGGCTAGCAAATGAAGGCAAATCTACGTGGTCTTGCAAAGTTCAATCATAATGGACAATCTACTAAAGTTGACCTAACATTCAACAGAATTGCCACACACTAGGCTAAATCACTAGTTCAATTCTGCTAAGGGGGCATTGGGTTTGCTCTTGTATCTTGCCCAAAGTGTTGCAATATGTCACTTCAGTCAAGAGATTCCTTGTAATTTAGTTAGGCTGAATCAGAATATACACACCCTATAAAACATGTAGTTCCTGGCTGTAGATGGCACTTAAACAATAAATAATATATCATAGATATGTTATATTTCTCTATGTTGATAATCCTATTGAAGTAAACAGACGCTTTCTGTATTATAAGATCCTTCACAGAGATGACATTTCATTGAAGTCAACTTAACATATCCTCTTCTGGTTGTCTCATGTCACCTTAAAGTAATGTCACCAAGTTCTGTACTTTTTGTTCCACTTACATACATGTAACACAGACAAGCAATAAATCCCTCTATTCAGATCTGACAATATTTCCGCATTTTATCAATGTACAGGAGAACTTCAAAGTCCCAATCTCCTTCATGATTATTGCATGTTCTGTGATCCGTGTAATCTCGTAACTGGTTGTCTATGAACTTCAGAAAAACAGGAAATCTTCTGGTTGGATCACCTACAGTTAATAAGTGTAAGGTTTCTGCTGTTTAAAGAGTATTAATAGGAGTTATCCACTCTAATGTCAATGAGACTATTCCATACTATTTAGCATAATCTTGAATTTTTCATGTTTTTCATCCATTCTACTGATCTATTATTTCTCAGATCAAACATCCCTAGCGTGTGAATATGTTTTCTATGTCTGCAACTGTGATCATCGCATGTCTATATTTCATTTAGAGTTTACTTCTGAGTTATTTTCTTCAATAAGCCAGCACAATGGATAGTGGATATGCCAAAGAGTATACTTCTCACTGTTTCTCACTGGAACATATGCAATATTAGAGTAAATGCATGTCCTACATTGCTCCTTTTCTTTCTATTTGATAAATACAAACTATCTATCAAACTCAAGTATTTATATTTTAGATTAACTGTTCCTCTCTATTATCAAAATCCTTTATAATGATATATCACAGTTTTTAATATCAGATCTTCGGACAGGTAAACTCTGTATGTGTAAATATGTCTTTATATATATCATATGTATATTACAAATAAATAATTAATAAATCCTAGTAGACTAATATGTATATGACCAGTTTTTTTATAAATATTAAATAAAATTGGAAGTTGATATGTCCCTATATGTGAGGAACCGAAATCTTGATTTTTCACAATCGGAAGCATCAACTTTTAATCAAGCACAATCAGCAACGTCACTCGTGATATTTCTCTTTTATATAACGAATCCTTGGTGCTCATCTGCTGCCAATATCACATGTTTTCTATTGGATTCTTAGCATTAGATGAATTATGTGTTTGACTGCATATTCCATTTTAAGTAATCCCATTTTGATTATAACATTTTTGTTCTCCCTTGAGTAGAAAAAGAATAGTGGTTTAATTAGGATTTCAGCTCCACTATAACATGTCAAAACATCTCCAAATGTTGGACTCCTTTACAAGTAGTATTTGCAATTTGCTAGTCTGGAAACCTTAGTAAGAGACTGATTTTCTAGATTGTGTTTCAATTATTGATACTTTCAGCTGATTGTGTTTTATTTCTTGATTGTTCCACCTGATTGTGTTTTATGACTGGATTGTTCTGAATTGTGTTTTGTGCTGTGATAGTTCCAGTTGGTTGTTCCTCACATGATGGCTAGTGGCTCCATCTACGAAAAGCTGGTTGATGGTGTATTGTGACCAATCAACGATCTGGAAGTATATTTAAAGAAATACATGTTAGAAATTAGAATCAAATCTATTTTTAACAAAGTTATCATGTTATAAAAAATTATTCATAAAATTTTGTATTTGAAACACATTATACTTCCAATCTACCTCTGCCCACATCTTAAACTAAAACAAAATCATTACAATAAATGATATGATTGTATTTGTAGGGTGGAACATCTGCTACCACTCTATTTACATACCCATTCATTAAATATGCTGGTCATGTTTTAAAATAGAAAAAGACTTTATAAGATTGGAAAGGCAAGTTGGAATAAAGCAAACAGTTATATACTCTTGTCGCCTAATACTCTTTTAAATTATTTTTGAAATACCAAGTACATGTAAAATATAATAGAAATGCTACACAAAAATTATGTTGAGAAAGTGTGAAGATCTTTTGGCAAGGATATTACATGATGGAGATTGCATCCATAAACAGCAAATAACAATGATAATAGGTTATCACACCAAGTGACCTCATTCACTCTCTAATATCCTGATTTACTCAATAATTCCCACTTCAGCTGGTGCTTTCCTTCTCTGCAGATTCTATTTAGAAAGAAAACCAAAACATATCAACTACAAACCATCTCTTTACCAGAAAACAGTAGGTTAACATACTATGAATGAATTCATTCATTTCTCTCAGTTTATCATATGTTCAATTCCATGATTATTACAGAGAACAGTTACAGTGAAGATCAAAACCCTGAATCCTTATCAGTCAGACGAATTACCCTCTTACAATAACTAATAATTTCATCTTAACAATCTCAATTGCATCTTTCATTTCTATGGGACTTAAAGAATGAAGACAAAGATGTGCTCTTACGAAAGGAAAACATTTCATATTCACACATCTAAAAGATAAGCTTATAAAAGAACATAGATTTTCCAAAATAAAATTGAATGGAACAAACACATAACATGTATATGTAGATCTATACATCAAAGAACTGCTGAAAGAAGTCAACATTGTGATATAGAGGGTAACAGACTGCTTAATCATTTGCTGGTTTTCTCAAGAAATCCCTTGTGGGAGAAAAGTCACTTTTTATTTGATTGATGCAAACCATCTCAATCTGCTATCCTGTTTGAAGATATCTTAATAAGTCTAGTTCTGATACTTGGAAAGGTAGACTCGTTTATCAAGAATATGTAATTGATTTGAATGGCTCAGGGTAATTTAAGACACCTATTTCATTCAGTTGTATATATTAGACAGGTTCCAATTCAAATAATTCAAGTTTTTGAGGCATTTTTTAGAAAAAGCAACAGACCTATTTTTACTAGATCAGTTTTTCATGCTGATAAAGATATTAAAAGATGACAGCTCAACGGGGTGGTCACGACACTAAATTTTGGCATTTTTACCCCCCTAGGAAAATATTCTAGGGGGTACTATGAAACTAGTTCATAACTCAAAGGATATATGAGCTATTGTTCTGAGTTGTACACCATACATTGCTAGTACAAATATGAATACTATCCTAAAGTTATAGGTTGATACCCTTATTGGTCTCAGAAAAATACAAAAAACAGGAAAAAGATACGCAATTTTTGTCTTGCCAATTTTATATTTGTAGCTTCAAGCACAATATGACAGCTTTAACAGCTCATAGTAGTATTCTAAAAACATTTCCAAGCTATGTGTGGTATTGTCATACATCTATTTTAGTTATGAAGTACTATTTTGTAATTTTAATATGACTTTATAGTGCCCTACTCCTGGAAAATTGAAGAAAGTGGATGTGGTGAATTTTATCATTTTGCAGCATTAAGTTAGAAACGTGTATTGATAGACACCAAATCAATAAATTCATACCATCATCAAATGTTAGGTGACATTCTAATTCATTTATTACTAGAATATAGGACTTAAGATATTTTATATGTAAGTTTTCAATTTAGTACATGTATCATAGTGAAATCTAGTGTAATCACATACTAGAGAGGTTGGCATACAGTCCGGACATAGACATAAAGTCTAAACATTATAATCATCAATTGATCTCATTTGAGCAACTAGACTATGGTGGTCATCATGCACAAGTAATGTACATTTGTATTTGCATAATAATGTTATAAAGGAGCATGTAGGTTATCGCAAACAACTTCAGACAATTCTAACTTGAATTATGAATATTTTCTGACCATGAACATGGGTATATCTTTTAGATCTATTCATTATCTTCAAGAAAAGTAAATATAATGATTGAAATCAGACCTAAGTGATATTAAAGGGAATGGCCCAATCAACATACTTTTTACTAAAAATGTTGACCTAATTTTTACCAAAGATGCAACCTTTAATTATCACAAGACAAAATCGTGTTTAATAACTAGCAATACCAATGTTACAACCATCTTACCCGGTCCTTAGTACTCGCAATCCTTGATTATTGATACACTTATCTGGAAGGTTATTTGAGCTTACCCGTTGGTATTGATACACTTATCTGTGTTTTTTAGGCCCGAATACTGAGGTTTATTTTTTTAATTATTGAGTCTTATTCTATTGCATTAATATGTAGTTGACTTTGTAACTACGGACGTGATATGATAGGTCTATTACATAATATGTATATATAAATATCGTGATAATTAATGAATCTAGATGAAGACTAATCATTAAAACAAACATAGACGACATTTAATATTTAAAGAAAAATAATTTGATAGATAACTTATGCATGTATAAGTCTCTTAGTGAAAAATTTAAGGGAAACTGGTTTCGTGATTTAACAGAGGACAGCAAGGTATCAATGTTGTTGTCTACAATCCCGGACTCACGCTATTTATTTACAGTTTGTAGATTAAAGATCCTTATTTAAAGACAACGTCGTCTTTATGAATTATTTAAGACATCAGTAGTCACAGAAATTGATTATCCGAAGAGGATACCGAGTTCTGACCAGCAGACGAACAATTGCAGACATGGGCTAAGTTTGTTTATTTAACAGTTAGATTTGTTGACTTCCTGATCCGCATTGTAATCTCTGGGAAGACGTTATTTTTATTTATTCTATACTTTGTATTTGCGTCCAATGTAATAAAGTTGATACTTTTATGAACAAGAATTTCATTTTAATGGCCATTTTGTATGCCTTTTATTTCCACACCATGTTTTGATTTTGCCTCGATGTTATTGTGTCATAGTGTTTTTGATATAAAATTCAAGAAATGTCAACTTTTTAATTAAGGAATGTTGGTTACTCTCTTGTGGTAAATCAAATTGTTGATGATGTCAACGGATCATGAGATAACACATTGTCCGGGGAAAGATATCAATATCAGTTGTATATCGGATAGAAAAATAAATATTATAGTAGATGCTAATTGTTTGCTCTGAAATAATGTGACTAATGACTATTCCAGCGAATCAGGTAGATATTTGAACGGTTTTCGCGTAATGAAAGAATTTAGTTTTCGTTTCTATTAATTCTATTAATTTGACAAGTAGGGTCGTTGATAAACACATATAACTGTAAAAGTATTTATTGGAAGTACTTGTTTTAACAGTCTTTTCGCTATTCTTTTTGTCTCTCGACAGGCATAGGCGTAGCCAGGGGGGGGGGGGTTGCGGTGCATAACCAATAAAATAGAACCAAGAAATAGAAGAAGAGATAGAAGCTTCAAGCTCAATTTTGAAGGAAGTTGCATCTTTTGGCTTGCTTTTGCCACGATCGCAACCCCCTCCCCCGACTGAAAACCGTTATTGTTTTTTGGCGATCGCACCCCCCCCCCCCCCCCCGACTGAAAGTTGGCTACGCCCCTGAACATGGATAATAGGGGCACTATTACGCTGCGTGCAGAGTCTAATTATAAACTACGAGAAGACGAAGCTCTCATTTAAGAAGTGAAGTCGAACAAATGCAAAGGGTAGGGTATTATAGAAGGGGATCATATAAAAGCACGATCTATTTCAAAACGCCTTTAACTTTTGTTCTTCAACTGTTGCCCTTTGTGCATTTCAAAAAGAAAATATCTTAAACTTATTTGTTCCACCTTTCTTTTCGCTCAGTTCTGCGATATTATCGTTATGTCCATATGTTGTTTAGGATTATGTCATTTGCGAAATAGCTGTAAGACATTATGAGAATGAAGATGGGAGTTTCCACGATAATGTTGTTCACATGATTTTATACACATACCTGCATAACAATCGGAGACAGAAGTCTTAATATTGTCCAATCAAAAAATAAGAATCTAAAATTTAATGATAACAAAAGGATTAATTGCTTAGTTCTCTTTGTCTTAGTCTTTGTTTTCTTAAATGCGGAAGTGTACCAACATCGCCTAGATTACATAAGAGATTAAAATTAAAATTGCTTTTAATTGCAAGTTAAT